AATTAACTAAAGTATATCTAATAAAATAATCACGGGAAAACTTTTTTCCATGGATTTTCGTTAATTTAAGTGTCTAGAAGGTATGTGCATTTTTTTCTTAATACTGCTATTTTCTTAGTGCTATTTTCGCATAAAAATTAAAATTATAAATAATGGTGATAGAGTTCAGGGAGGTGAAACTTTTTTTTAGTAAATTTCCTCCTCTTTAATGATTTTTTTAAATTTCGAATATATTTAAGATTTTCCGAGGTATTTGCAAAAAACCAAACCTCCTTTTTTTACTGAATTGTTTATAACTTTTGCAATTTTTTCGAGCGCCTCTTGAAATTTATCAAAAAGTTACTAGAGGTTATTCCGAATCGAATGAGCCCTGGATCATAATTTTCGGTGACCTTTGGACAGAAGTTCCAAGAAAAAGATCCTGTGACCCAGACTAAAATAGGATGACGTGTTCAGATGACAGTCCGAATATTTGAAATTGAATTCAAATTTTTGGGCAATATATCAACAGCAAATATAGACTTTCGAAGATCTCGCCAGGTGCATTTACTGCAAACAGTAACACCTCTTATTGCGAATCAGAACTCTCTGACCTACTTCACACAACTACAACTACAACTAACAACTACAAATCCTTCTTCAACACAAGAATTGGGCGAGAACATATCCGAAGAAGAGAGTGATTATTTTTCAAAGGAGTCGAACATGAAAAAATGTTGAATAACAGAGCTCTTACAAAGAACTATGAATATCGTAACAATTATCGCGCTAGTTGATAGCTCAGACAAAGGCTATATAATGTGAGTATAGTGAATCAGTGGTAACAGCTTATATTATGAACAATTGCAAAACTCTCACGCCTCTGTTGAAGGATATCTGCACAAAACATGTTTTATAATTTTTCAACATGGAAGATGCTCATTGGAATTTTCATTGAATAAACCCAGTTTTAGTGATGTGGAATTCTAAGAAATATTTATGATCATGAATATCAACTAATTTCAACAGTACTAAGTCAAAAGTATGAGAACAATTGTATACATACATGAACATAAAAACTCCATTTATTTCTTCCATACAATATATACTCATGAAGATAAGTAAAATTAACCAGACACTATAGAAGGTACACAATTACATCCGGCATTGACAATTTTCTTTTCCACTTTCCAACACATTTCTCCATACTTTTTTTTCAAATAATAATGGTACTTTTGGATGCCAGCACATCTTCCTTTTTGAACCCTGCAGGTTCCCTAGAAATGAAAATTCGTTTGTATATATTTCTTTTCAAAGGAATAAGAGTGGCAGTCAAATGAACATCATTATTGATCATTTCGATTGTATAGAGAAATGTGAAATAATTCTGATTTTAACTATCTGCATCCAACAAACAAAGTAACCCAAATAATGATAGATGCGTGATAAAAGCATGATCACCACGCACATTCGCATGTATTGGGTAAAATAAATGAGTCTCCTTACGCTGGCCAATGGGATTTAACTGCAATCGGCTGAAGGAATTCATTCAGGTATATCGCTACAGAGTAGGAGTGGTGAGTTAAGTTTCAACGCCTATGTTTAAAATTTTTAAAGTGTCAAGTAATTGTACGGATGAAGAAACCGCTAATTTGTGTCCCCACACTCTACCTAAAAAAATCCTATACCCAGCCGCATAATATATTATAAAAAAAATGTAATTTCGGTCGTTTCTCAGTGCGACTCTGTACAAGCAGCCTTGTCTAGGAGATCACGTGCACTATGTATTATAATGTAGAGTATAGTATGTTATTCAACATTTATAATTCTCTATAGAAAATAATTTTCGGTTTCAAACTCCTTCATAAGAATACAAGAGAAATGAAAAACTGAATTCAGTATTTGAAAAGCTCAGAAATATTACTGAAGAAAAAATGTATTTCAATGAGATATCAAACTGTGCGTGATGTAATAGTATCTATGGTGGAAACACATAATTTTTATTTTTTGTATTTCTAATAATAGTACCATGTATTTCCTTCAACTTTTGATAAAACATTCGTTAATTTTATTTTTAAAAAGCAAATTTCTAAAAGTGAATATTTCAGTTGGANTTACCAAATTATGAGCATTTCCATCAAGAAGATCACCATCGAAAGGAACGCATTCATATTCATTATATTGTTTAGGAAAGAACTCTGCACCAATTTCTTCATGGGTCTTTTGAATTTTTTTTACTCTGCATCTGGTCTGACTTTTCTATAATAAAAGAAAACAGTATCTAAATATTATGTCATTATATGATGGTAGTTTAAAAAGAACTTGGCCTGATGTTCAATGGTGATTGCATAGGTATTAAAGAAAATTAGTAAGTAGAAAGTACCTTTAACCCAATTTTCGAAATATGAAGGAGCTGTATCTGTAGAGTAGAGAGGGTTAGTGTAGGCCCACAGCACTTAGGCCACATGTGACCCATTGTGCACCATTGTGGACTGGTTGCAAGATGACATCTCCTTTATGTCGGCAGGTGTAGGCCAAACACACACTCTCTTATTGGCGATAACTCCGGGCAGTCGCATAGGGCATGCCGGACAGTTTCATTTTCCTGTTCACACATCCTGGTTAGTGGTGTGTCCACTAGCCCCATATTATGGAGGTGTTTCCTTAGTTGACAGTGGCCAATCAGAAATCCTACTGTTAAGCGTAGGTTTTTCCTGGTCATCACCAGCTATTTCTTCAGCGCCAGCTTGCCAGGGTCGCCCATAGTGATCCTCCTCGCTACCTCCTAAACGTATAGGTCCAGAGGGGTCAGACCAGTAATTAATTTCATTGCCGCGGTTAATGTTGTTCTCATGGCTCCTGTGATGTTTGAACATGTTCCATGTTAGCTTCCTGTCGAGGGTAGTACCAAGGTATTTCACCTCTTCAGAGAAGTTTACTTTGCTTTTTCGAAGATTTCGGGAAGTCCTTAGCTCGATAAATTTCCTTTCCTGGTGAAAAGGACCATCTCAGTCTTTTTGGATTATTCGACAGTGATTGTTCCTTACACCATGCTCCTATTAATTTGAACGAGAAATACATGGATATTCTATATCTCATTGTTCGATATTTCTGTAGCAGTCATTCTCAGTGAAATTGTAAAAGTGAAAAATTGTCATCCTTATGTAATTCACTTCTTTCATTTGAAAAAACTTCGTGGAATTAATATTAAGACAGTACCAAATGCTAATCTTGTGTCCCTTCGTTTACTACTAAATTATTGCAGTTGAAGAAAGACTAAAAGATAGTTCTTACTATTATAAGACTATTGAAGCTATCGAACAAAGTTGGGAAACGCAAATCGAACTCAAAGAGAAGATATTTCGAAATTACCAAAAAAATTTTCTTTGATGTTATGATTCCGGAGACATGAGAAAAATTACCTTATTTCTAGATTCCAGAAATCCTTCGCCATCTTGAAAAATTTTCTGACCATCAAAAATGTCGTCTGTCGATAACATTGCTAGATAATTTATTTCAGCGCCAGAGTTGTTCCAGTTATCATCCTTTTCTATTCTGGTTGGTTCACCATGGTAGACAGCTTTGGTAGCGTAAACGAAAAAAAATACTACCAAAATATTCTGAAATAAATTTCAATTTTGATAAAATGAACCATTATATCTGCAAGAATTTCGTGACATTCCTTAATGCTAACTTGGTTTGCGAAACGAGTGTCTGGGACAGAATTTTTGTTCCCTTGAGGGATAGGTATAATTCTATTTATCATTTTTCACCTTAATTGATAGTAATTATGTTTATACTGCTCGAAAATCATTCGATGGTATCGGTGATTTGGGTTATGAGAAAATAAAAAGAACAAAATTCCCAATAGTATATAGTTTGTGATGATTTTTTGGTACCAGAATCAGCAGAATAACTAGAATTATACCAAATATAGCCACGAATACCATTAAGAATATAAAAAAATTCGACAAACACAAAAGAGCTTCAAAACGATGGAAAATACTATTCTGGTAGCAGGAACACGCAACAAGAGTGTTATTATTTACTGAATGTTCAGGTTAGCACAATAACAGAATCAGACAACAGTATATACGACGGTGTTCTGAAAAGTTACCGACCTAACAAAGATACAAGATATTTTTGCAGTTTTTTTTTTCAACATAGTCTCCTTTTGACTCTACACACTTCTTCCAACGATGCTCACATCTCTGTAACTCGTCCAAACGCCCGAGGTAAGTTCCTATATGAATATATAATTAAGAAAGATCTAACAATCTTGAACAGAGGCACGAAGCCGACATTTGTTAACGCCCGTAGCCAAACATTAATAGATATCACGCTAACGATAGCTAAAATATCAAACACAAAATCCAGGACTGGGAAGTCTCGGACCATATTTCTATGTCAGACCACCGCTGGTTGACCTACGGTGAACCAGGATCTCAGGAACACTGTAAAATCCCGTGACCCGAAAAGGACGAGAGATGTAACCCTCTACAATCGACTCTTAAAAGGAGCTCTGCGGGAAACAGAGGTCCTGACTCCTGGCAATAATGAAGAACTGGAGTGGTACACGGTAATTATCGAAAACAAAATAGACATTGCCTACAAGGAATCCTGTCCGATGAGGATGGTTCAAACAGATGGCATAACCAATACATGGTGGTGCGCTGAACTGGAACACTTCAGGATGACAGCGAGAACGACCTTTAACAAGGCAAAACGTACAAGACTCGAAGAGGACTGGGGTACCTATATATCAAGCCACAACCTCAGAGAGTTCAAAAAAGTCTGCAGACAAAAACAAAGAGAGAAGCCTGGAGAGCCTACTGTGAGGCAGTCGAAGACTTCCCACTAGTTTCAAGGCTACAGAAGGCACTCTCAAATGACCACCATAATAGTATCGGCATCCTGACGAGGGAAAATGGCGACAAACCCGCAACCTCCAAGAGAGTACTGAGATTCTTATGGAAACTCACTTCCCAGGTTCTGTCTTTCCTGGAACGACGAACTAGACGGAAATACCAACTACACCCACACAATACGACTGGCGATCTTCTAGTGCAGTAATTGACGAGAACAAGATAAGATGGGCCATATCGGCCTTTACCCCCATCAAGTCACCAGGACCTGACGGTCTAAGACCAGTCTTACTTCAATGGGGAGTGGATATTCTTATGCCGCACCTGATTGGAATATTCAGAGCCTCTCTAGCTCTGAGGTATATTCCCAGTAAGTGGAGAGAATTACGAGTAGTATTTATACCCAAACCACGTAGGGTGGACTACACCTTACCAAAAGCATTCCGACCAGTTATTCTCACATCGTTCTTAAAAACTATGGGAGGCTATGTGAGCGGTACATAAGAGATGAAGTACTAGTTCACAATCCACTTCATCCAAATCAGCATGCATATTCTCCGGAAAGGTCTACTGATTTGGCCCTTCACCATGTGGTTGGCAGAATCGAGAGATCATTGGAGAACAAAGAATCCTCCCTGGGTATACTCATAGATATCGAGGGAGCGTTTGATAAAACAACCTTTTCAACAATTACCCAGCAACTTCACTCTGGGAATGTACCCCTGGTAGAAGGAGAATGGATACTCAAGTTGCTCTCTAGTACAGCCATAAGTATCGAAGTAGAAGACATCACAGTGAGAGAACTGGTCATGAAGTGATGTCCACAGGAAGGGGTCTTATCCCCCCTTCTCTGGAACATAGTTCTGGATACCCTGATTAATCACCTCAACAATAATGGATTCTACACAATTGCATACGCAGATGACATAGTTATCTGGCAGACCGGCAAATTTGTGAACACACTGTGCGATAGAGCGTAGGTAACATGGTATAAGGAACACTTACTGTCGATCAATCCCAAGAAGACTGAGATTATCCTTTTCACCAGGAAAAGAAGTTTATCGGGCTTAAAACCTCCCGAAATCTTCAAAAGCAAACTAAACTTCTCTGAAGAGGTGAAATACCTTGGTACTATCCTCAACAGGAAGCTAACATGGAACTCTCACCTAAAGAGTAGAGCAGAAAGAGCATATGTAGCTTATGAGCAATGTAGGTATGGGTCAATTGAGGCTGAGCCTATGATGAGAAGCGCTTTCTGCGCAACCTCTGCTACAGGCAACCAGTGATGCATTTGAACCCCCAGGTTTGTGTTTATTGAACTCTACAAAATACAAATAAAACAGAACACAGGGTCAGATGCTACAAATGCAATAAGCATGTATATAAATAGCTCAAAAACCAAAGAAGGCTCCTGTTGTGGAGTGTACTCCAGATCACTTAGCCTAAGGATTAAGTGAGGAATGGGAAAAAATACCAGCGTGGACCAAACAGAACTGACTGGTATGTCAATCGCCACAAAAGAAATAACCAGGAAAGGAATTTTTGGCAAAAACAACAATCTGCACTGACAGCAGACAAGCCTTATTAGCCTTCAACAGACAACGTGTTATCTCAGGACTAGAACTAGAGTGTCACCAAGATTTAGCCAAAGCCTTGGTAGATAATAACATAATCCTAACATTATAATAACATTATCCAGTGACACCTACGGCCTGATGACTTCGACAATTGCGGAACTAGCCAAATCAATCCCTAAAGAGATGGGATGGAATCAAAGGATGCAATCTTGCCAGGAAAGCTGGCGCCGAAGAAATATCTGGCGACGACCAGGAAAAATCTACGCTTTACAGTAGGATTTCTGACTGACCACTGTCAAATAAGGAAACACCTCCATAATATGGGGCTAGAGGACACACCTCTATGTAGGATGTATGCACAAGAAGATGAACCTGTCAGGTATGTCCTATGCGATTGCCCGGAGTTATCGTCAATAAGAGAGTGTGTGTTCGGCGAGTCTTGGCCTACACCTGCCGATATCCTTAGCTCGCACAAGTTTCTCAACTTCTGAGAGTTGTCGTTCGTATGGGGGCGCAAGCTGATTAACGGAAAAACAGATTTTGAACAGATTTTTTTTTTAAATTAGAGAGGAATACTTGGTTGGAACTAGATCGAGAAACAACCCTTTGAGTTGTTGTCTCCTTTTCGACATTTATGAGCAATCTTCAGAATTAAACAATCTCATTCACAAAGGTATCCAGCATTGCTAAGAATATATTCCAGAAATCCTGTGGATAAAGTTAAAGATCTCAAAAAATATCAATGGATGGGAAAAATACAGAGATGAATTATTAAAAAAAAACTAAAATCATTTCATGTTATAATCACTATTAGTGAATAATTACCATCAAAAATAATAGTGAGTAGGTACAATAGGTTGAAGAGAATCCTTTGAAAAGTCTACTTGAAACATATAGTCAGTGGGCATACTTGAAGACTAGCTATAAATCAAATCAATATATGTGACTATATGTGAAAAGTTTTCTTTCCTTGTACGAGGAATTGGGCAAATTTCGGATATGCGATTGGTTACCTTGTTCACAGGCAGATTCGGCGATGACAAACCTGTTGCTTGTTGTCCGCTTCAGCCTAGTTCGAGGAATGATACTCTGAAGGAATTCGATTTTCACTTATCGGAAATCATCGATGGCGACAAACCCGCAACCTCCAAGAGAGTACTGAGATTCTTATGGAAACTCACTTCCCAGGTTCTGTCTTTCCTGGAACGACGAACTAGACGGAAGTACCAACTACACCCACACAATACGACTGGCGATCTGCTAGTGCAGTAATTGACGAGAACAAGATAAGATGGGCCATATCGGCCTTTACCCCCTTCAAGTCACCAGAACCTGACGGTATAAGACCAGTCTTACTTCAATGGGGAGTGGATATTCTTATGCCGCACCTGATTGGAATATTCAGAGCCTCTCTAGCTTTGAGGTATATTCCCAGTAAGTGGAGAGAAGTACGAGTAGTACAGAATACAGAACCCGTCCAAATAGTAGCATGAAGATGATTGCCTCTTCATTTTACAAAAATCTGTATCTTTCGAGCGTAATTTTTAGATGAGGAAACACAAAGAAGTCGCTTGGGGCCAGATCTGGCGAGTAACACGGATGGTCAAGTAGTTCAAACCGAAATTATATAAAGAACTCCATGATTATCCCAAAAACAGTCGCCATCACTTTCCCAGCCAAAAAACAGTTCTCGCTTTTTTGGAGGCGGTTTTCCCTTTGCAGTTCACTGTTTGGACTGTCTTTTTGTTTCGGGCCTATAATGATATATCCAAGTTTCATCTATACAGTCATTAATCGGCTCCAAAACTTGGATTTATTGCGCCTAAACTGCGCCAACAGAGTGTTGGAAATGTTCATTTGAATAATTATATAAATTATACAAAANAAAACAATATTTTAAATGTTGTGGAATTGGCCGCGGTGGTAGTGCGCCCGACTCACGATCAGAAGACCGTGGGTTGGATTCCTGCCTCGACCAGAGAATTTATCTGGTTGAAGCTGGGATGATTCTGCAACCGTGTTAGGAATCACACGTTAAAAGGTAAGACCTCGTTAGTCCTTAGCTCGCACAAGTTTCTCAACTTCTGAGAGTTGTCGTTCGTATGGGGGCGCAAGCTGATTAACGGAAAAACAGATTTTGAACAGATTTTTTTTTAAATTAGAGAGGAATACTTGGTT